TAAAACTGCTAACGAAAACTTATAAACGTGTTATCATATTATCAGACGATATTGTTTCTGAAACCAGTTGGCAGGTTTCAGAGTTGTTTGGAAGGTTATTTTGAACACTTAGAACATTAGAAAGAGGCGGAGGAGTCCAATTACTTTCTGAAGGAGGGTTGTACATAATATATTGGTTATGCATGATCTGTTGCTTTTCGACTTCCTGAACTGCTGTGAAAACTTTCGATTTCGCTAAATTAGCGTGAAAAGGATCTAATGTTTTCATCGTAGCTGCAATTCCCATTAAAAATGCATCTATGGGATCTTTTGAAGTCGTAGTTTCTGAGCGTTGCCTATTTTCTAATAAGTACTTCATCAATGTCGATGATGCCGTTTCTTTTTCCTTTTTTTTCCTTACATTAGTACTAGTACGAGACCCAAATTGAATAGGCTGATGTGTTGGCATAGACATAGCTGTTGTATTTGCAGTGTCTTCGTGATCAGAATTGTTTATAGTATCTGCAGCCACATTCGTATCAGGAAATTCATACGTATTATCTTCTCCAGAATCACTTCCTTCAATATTTGAAATAGTCGGTCTTTCTTGGAAGTATTGTTTCAAAAAATTCACTTGGTCTTCATATTTGTATTTCAGCAATTTCTTAGATGCTTGACCACTTGTAGTTTTTTGTTTGTTCAAAGTTTTTTTATACTGGTCTCTTATGTTGCTCCATCTTGCTTTACATGTGTTAGCTGAGAATTAAATTAACAATGAAATATTAAAAATTAACACTCAATTTAATCTAAAACCAGGCTTAAAAGTAATCTTAAATATCGATAAAACTCATCAAAAATGTTTTAAATATTCAAAATAACTATTAAAATTCAAAAAATTGATTATGATGATCAAAATGAATGTTAAAATTTATAAAAAAAATCTTAAAAATCCGCAGTCACAATTTTTTTAAAGCATTTAAAGTTGAAATATTGACAAAATACGTAAAAACGACGGAAATATACAAATTACTTTGAATTAGAAATTCATAAACATTTTTCTTTTTAAATCTAAGATTTATCATATTTTTTTCTACCTTTCTTCATCTTTAGCATAAAAGCATACAATTGTTTGAAAAAATCAAAAAAAAAACATATTTAATTTTTGAAAAAAGAATGACCAAAAATCAACTTATCTAGTAATATTCCGTGATTTTACATTTCTTAGTAATTGAATTACATTTTTTTTTCATTAATATACCATAATAAACTTACAAAAAAAGTGGGTATCGCTCTGCTGTAGAGTAAGTTACTTTCATTTTTTCCAAAAAAATATATATTTTAAAATGCCATTGCGTGTATGTAAAATATAACAGTATATTCTAAAAGTTTCATATACCAACAAGTAATATTTTTAAATTATAACAAAATAATTAAAATTGTTATTCTTCAATTTCTTCAATTTTATTTTTCAACTGCTATAGCTATTCTATCAAGTGAATATCAGATGTTGTAAAATTATGAACTTCAAACGCTCATAAAAAATTATTTTGACTTGTTTTTAGATATTTTATTTTTGGTAAAAGTAGAAAAACTTATGTTAAATCTTGTATAACATTTTAAAATCTTAGATTTAAAAAGAAAATTTTTTATGAATTTCTATCTCAAAATAATTTGCAAATTGTTGTCATATTTACGTATTTTGAATCAGATAATGACATGAAACTTATTATGTATAAAAATTAGATTTATATCTCATATATTATAAAAAAAAAAGAAGAGTAGGTACTTATGCTTTAAAATACGAAGTCTAATTATTATGTATATTAATATCCACTAATATTTCAGATTTTTAGCAACGGGTGATTCGTTTAAAACGATCTCATATAGTTATCGTTTGGGGCATTCGACAGTATACGAAATAGTGACAAATACTTGCGAAGCCTTAGTCAAAACTTTAATGCCTGAAGTAATGCCAATACCCACTAGCCAAAAATGGAGAGAAATCGCAGATGAGTTTTGGAAATGTTGGAACTTTCCAAACTGTATTGGATCATTGGACGGCAAGCATGTAGTAATCCAAGCACCGCCAAATAGTGGGTCACTATATTTTAACTACAAAAAGACCTTTTCAGTGGTACTTATGGCTCTCGTCGATGCTCATTATAATTTTATTGTGGTAGATGTAGGCGCGTATGGTAGGAATAGTGATGGAGG